GGTGTTTTCAAATCACCAAGAAAAATAACGAAATCTGATAAAAGATGTTGTTGTTCTTTGATGTTGAGATTTACATTTTTATATATAAATGTACATGCAGGACGAAATTGCTTTTGTAAATAACCTTGAGAAGATGTATTTAAATATTTCAATATTGTATTACAATTAATTTCTTTTAATAATTTAATCATCATTTTATCAAATGCTTGTTGAATAAATTTTTCCTTTAATTGAAAATTTGATGAAAATTCATCTAAATAACATTGAATATGTTTTAATATATTATCATTTAAATCATTATGATTTTTAAATAAATCATTAGCAATAAAAGAATATAGATGACCACTAACATAGTACTTGTAGAAATCATCATGAAACCATAGTAAAATATCAGATGTTCTAATTGATGATGAACCAAATTCTAGTTCTAATTTGTATCGTTCTATCTCTAGTTGTGCATTTATTTTTCGAAGTTCTACTTCTTGGATTAACTTTTGTTTTTCGATTTCAAATTTTGTTTTTTCAATTATTTTGTGTTTTTCAATTTCACGTTTTATTTGTTCAGTAATTTTTTGTTTTTCAATTTCACGTTTTGTTTGTTCAATTATTTTAATTTTTTCTACTTCGAATTGGAGTTCGAGTTTTTTAAGAATTAATTGCTGTTGAAAATTATCTCGAACTTCCTTGTTATCATCATGTATATCCATAATTATTTGTTTTCTTTTTTTTTTGTTTTATCTAAAAAAAAAAAGAGAAATAAACTTTTGTAAACATCATTCAGGAGAACGATCAATCGAATGCTTTTAGTCACATAAGGTCGAATGCAGATTATTAGAGTTATATTTAGGTTAGTTATGTAGGATTTAGATGTGATAATGTTTATTCATGATTCTTTTACTCACGAGAGAACTATTCCAATTGATTCCAAGCTTTTGACTTCATATTTTGACTATAGGTAGACCTCAATGAGAATAAGAAAATCCTTGAAACGTTCGTATTTGTGATCTGCTAGTGCAAAATTATAATTATTTTATTGAATGAAATAAATTTCTTGAAACAATGGATTAAAAAAAAACAAAAATATACGTCCATTTGTAACAAATCATTGATATGTGATATATATAGCAGAAAAGATGTCGCTCTCTTTTTGTCTTTATTTCTTTTAATCGATACTGATTAATCATAATTATTCATTTGAAATTTATTCGAAACAACTGTAAATAGCAGATTAGCTACTGTTTGCAGAAAAAAAAATAATTTCATCTAATAACAAGATGCTTATTTTTCTCATTCTTTTTACAGGTTTTACATTTCATATAGAGTAAGTCGGGATGAATGTAGACAAAAAACTAATGAACTCACATATATTGCCTATAACTTTTTTATTTTACATTTTTTTTTGAAAAATTTTTCTTCACAAAACATCTAGGTGAATCTCTCCTCTATCGATTTGTGAAATCCGTTTCTCAAAATCTTGTGAGTATCACTATCTGCAAGGTGTTCTTTGAGAGCTATTTTTCCATTCTATACATTCACCTTAATTGGAGTGAGTGTAGAATCATGCTGACACTATTGGGATGAATGTAGAATCTCAGGTATTTTCTATATAATTATTAAAATCTAATTTTCAAGTGTTTAATATAATATTTTTTGGTGATTCTTTCACCAGTTGATAGTCCAAACTCTTTTTTGCATTGCTCTAAACGAATCTTCTGATTATAAGTCAAGACAGTGTTTGTTTTTATAAAGCTTGCAAAAAGAGCTCCAAAAAAAATTTTCGTCTACAATTTACTCCATATGAAGGTGAATGTAGAATCGCAGCAGATTCTGCTGGACACACTGAAACTCAACTTTTAGGAAATCCATAAGAAATTTTGAGACATTCTCAACAGCAAAATTGTTAAGAATGGTGAGCTTAATAATTCTAAAGCTTTTCAAAAATCGGTTTTAAATTTCCAGATATAGTTTTACTTGTTATACGCAAATAAAAGATCAAATTTAAGCTTGAAATGACTATTTTTAAACTGAATTTCACCAAAACTACAATTAATTTAATCTTTCACACTCATCAGGAGAAGTAAAGAGGAATCCTATCTCCTCTTTGATGTCTTGAAGTTAGTTTATCCTATTAGAAAAGAATAACAAATTTGTCAACACTTTGTTATTCAATATTTGATTAGATTATAATATAATTAGTGACGTATTATAAGTCAGAGAACGTTATTTTCAAAAGCTTCTTTATAGTCTACATATTTTAAGTGATTAACGTATGACTGGCTGCATACAGAGCTGGAAATAATAGATCACTAGGTACAGATATAATATTCTGACTTCAACTGTCAATCGTTTTCGGAGTTTCCTGGTTTAAATCGATGATCAACTGAACGGATACTTACTAAATTACTGGAAGCAGGTGCGAGAACTATCATTCTGGTATGATTTGATACAGTGAAAATAATTTAAGTAATATTTATCTACAAGTTTGAAGAGTAATCTTCAAACCATACTCTAAAAATAATTGCTATGATTATCATCATAGGATTACTTAATAGTGCTTGACATGCGTAGATAATTCTTAATGACTTTATTTCAATATGTTGAAAGTAATTTTTAATATATTGAAAAGAATCTATGAGTACATAAATATCGTGGTAAAGGATTAATATAGCATTTATTTATTTATTCAATTAGTATGTGATATCGGCTTAAGTGATTATTAATCGTTTTTATGAACCTAGCATCCTCTAGCTTAATTTTGATGATATATTCTGGGAAAGATCCAATGTTGACTGTAAAATTGTTTAAATTTTTATTAGAACTTAGAATTTGGTTCAATAACTCTAGATACACTGTTTTTCAATAATTTTTCCTGTTGATCTGAGAAAACTTGAATTGTAACCACAACACTGAGTTACGGCTAGCGCTATGTTTAGCAGAGTCCACAAAAAAGTTTCTCGATTATTTTGTTACGAATCTCAGAGTTGTTTGAATAATTTTCAACGATTATTTGAATATATTTGGTACGTAATTAAAACATTTATTTGTCAGTTTATTTTCTCCAATTTGTTAAGATATTTCTTCCAGTGGTGGATTTAGGAGAGAAGCACTAGGGCGATCACCCCTTGTTTCAAAGATTTTTTCGATTCTTATCAGCAGAAAAAGTCCAAAAATGAGTCATTACTACCTTGAACAACCTTGAACGAAGTTTAAAACAGTTTTTCTGATCAAAATCACCCCCCCCCCCCACCGAATTGGCTTCGCATATATTTCATAGACCTGTCACTAATTTGTTTTGAGTAGATGCCTAATTCGACTTCGAAAATAATTCAAAATTCAAAAAAATCTACCAGCAGACATATTCATGCAGAAAAGAAGAATTATTTTTCTTTAGATATAATTTATAATTGATACTTATATAGGGTTAGTCATATAAGTTTAGGAAAATGGGAAAAGAATTCTTTTTATATAAATATAATTTATAATTGATAGTTATATAGTGCCAGTCATGTAAGTTTAGGATAATAGGAAAAAACTTATTTTTATACAGATCTAATTTATAAGTGGTAGTAATATAGTGATAGTTATTGAAATTTAGGGATGTAGTAAGAGTTATTTTTATATATGTGGAATTTATGGTTGATTGATATATTTGTGTAGTTGTTGTAATTTTTATTATTATTTTGAGTCGTTTTTTTAGTTTACGGTTAATTTTCTGTTGAAATTGGGGTTATTAAAGTCATGGGAAAGTTGAAAATATTTTGTTTGTTAGGGTATGGAGGATTCGAGGTTTTGAGGATTGCATATTGTGCGTTTTTTTTTGTATGTTAGTGCAAAGGCTCGTTGCAGCGAAGTCTGGTATCACATGGAAGAAGCGAATGGTTTCATAGGGTTTGAAAGTACAACAAGATGAAATTGAGAATGTGGTCAAGGCGTGACACTTCCATCTAGCCTGTAGGGTGTCTTTCTCAACGTAGTTGTCTGTGTAGCCTATTTCATGATGTTCCTTATTGTCAA